GGTTCTATTCATGGTTGCAGGGTTGCTAGAGGTGCCCCCAGTTTCTCATTTGCTTTTTGGTGATGATAGTCTGTTATTTTTCAAAGCCAACATCCAGGAGGCCAGTAAAAATTTTTCAAAGCCAACATCCAAGAGGCCAGTGAAATTAAAAATTTCTTATCTGTATATGAGAATTTATCTGGACAGGTGGTTAATTATCACAAGTCTAGTATATGCTAAAGCAAGAATACTAGTGAGTCTGACAGGGATGAGGTGGCACAAATCTTGGGTGTAGTTCAGGCTCCTAACTTTGAGAAATACTTGGGGCTCCCCTCGTTTGTTGGAAAGAATAAGAAGGCGGCTTTCTCATATATTGAGGACAAAATCAAGCACAGGAAATCATGAGACAAATTATGTATAGCACAGTCCATGCCCACCTTTTCAATGAGTGTTTTTTTGCTACCTACATCTGTTTGTATGGCTACTAAGAGAGTTATGAACCGCTATTGGTGGGGGACTGGTAATGATCGGGGAATACACTGGAAATCATGAGACAAATTATGTATCCCAAAGAAGCATGGTGGCCTGGGCTTTAAGGACCTCCGTGCATTTAATTTAGCTATGCTAGGGAAACAGGCGTGGCGGCTTCTTACTAAACCAGAATCCTTGGTGGCTTCCATTTATAAAGCTAGATATTATCCCAAGGGTTCATTTTTTGATGCAGAAATAGGCAACACCCCCAGTTTTTGCTGGCAAAGTATTATGGCAGCTAAAGGCCTAGTTTGTAGTGGGGTAAGGCGCAGGATTGCAAATGGTGAGACCACACTTATATGGGCACATCCGTGGATACAGAATGACCAGGAACCTATGATATAGACAGAGATGCCTATGCAATTGCCAGAGGCAAATGTTGTGGGTTTAATCGACCAAGACACTGGTACGTGGGATTATTCAATCCTCACTAATTTATTCCAACCTACAGATGTGGAAAATATTATAAAGATACCTGTTTCCCCAGAATATGATGATTCCTGGTATTGGCATGGAGACCCCAAAGGAATTTACTCAGTTAAGAGTGGGTATAGGAGCATTATTGGAGATTATGAGCACAGTGATGAGGCATTTAATAAATGGCTCACCCTATGGAGTCTCAAAATCCCCAAATGGAAAACATTCCTATGGAGAGCAATTAGTGATATCCTCCCTACCACTACAAATTTGATTATAAAGATGGTGGATGTGGATCCAAATTGTGCCATGTGTGGAATCTCTCAAGAGGACACTATGCATGCTTTGGTGTTATGTGACTTGCAAAAGCCATATGGGAACAATCTAACTTTTCAATCCCCAATATTGTGACGCATGTTTTTCACATTTGGTTTACTGATCTTCTGAATGTTCTAGACTCTAATGGAATATTGCATGCAACAACAATTTTATACCATATTTAGAGAGCACGGAACATAGCAGTATGGGATGCTGTCCTGCCACGACCGAGGAAATTGTTAGCCATGGCTGCCGCAACCATGCATGCATGGCGCCATGCACGGACCACCGCCAATGCCACGCCATTAGTCGACCACCCGGGATCTGTTGGAGAACCACCACCGCTGCACGAAAAGCTAACCGCCGCTGCTGCCACCACAGCTGTACCACTGCTCAGGAATTGCCGAGTAGACGCCGGCTACCTCCACAACTCGGGCATGGCAACGGTAGGGGCGGTGCTCCTCGATGCAAATGGGGAATATGTAGTGGCATTCAGTGCCCCTCTTCCGGTTTGTTTTTCACCACTTGTGACACCCCGAAATCCAAATTCAATTAAGGGGTTAATTGAGTAATTAATCCTATTTCAATTGGTGAATTAATTCCTAAAATCCTGAAAATTTAATAGTTGGGGACTAGTAATTGACTAGTCAACCCCAAAGTCAAAGTTGTACCTTAAGCCTTGTAAGGAGTTCCCTTGTTCCTTACACTTCCTTATGTTAGTAAGGGTATTCTTGACCTTTCACTTGGTGTTAGTATTGTAACATAACCTAGTAGACCACCTTCATTCTTTCCTTACATTTTCTAAAAATCTAGTTCCACCTTCTCTCTAAAAAGGTGGGTAACTTTTCTTCCAAGCCAAGTTGGAGCCTTGCCAAAACTTCAAGAGTTGCTTCCAAGATTCAACCTTTCATATATTTGGGCATCTAGGAGGTGGGTTTGGAAGGTGAGCCTTGAGAGGAGCTTGTTGAGGTGTAAAGTGAAGTCTTTAGTCTACAAGAGGTAACCCATGCTCTACAAAATCTATTTTTCTTACCTATGTGAATATTTCTTGGATTCTACATGTGTTTTTGCTATGAAATGTGAGTGTTTATGCATTGTCTTGTGAAAATGCATATCTAGAGCTTGTGTTTAGGGTTCTTGTATGCCATTGCTTGGCTATTCCTTTGATTCAAGTCATTTTGTTGTATTTGGTGAGGTTTGGCATGTTTTGGACTTGAATTTGAGCTTGGTGTTGAAAATTCCCGAAGGGATTATTTTGGGCACAGGTGTGTACCCGCGGGCGGAACGGCGGGTAGGGGTCCAACCCGCCGCCCACCCGCGGGGTACAAAGGAAATGGAAGCCTGTACCCGCGGGGTACAATGTGGTGATGTTGGGGGATTTGTTCCTCGTGATTCTTTTGACTCGGTATTTGGTCTTTTGACTTCCCGATGTTCTTTTGTGGAACTATTTGAGTGTCTTCTTGATGTTTCGTATGTCTAGAACTATGTGGTAGGAATCTATGTAGGTTTTGGTGTCGTGAATCGTGCTAAGTGTTCAACATTGTGTTTCGTTGAACCGTGATGAGTCTTGTGTGTTCTTCAGAACTACCTTTGGTTTACCCGTTTGATAAACATGCTAGTTCGATGTTTAAATGCTAGCGTGTGCGTTGTTTGTACCTTCCGATTGGTTGATGATAACTTGTGTTATTCATCGTTGTTGTTGTTGGACTGTGTTCCATTCCTTGATTGAGTATGGTTTCATATCTTCGTTGTGATCCGTTGATTGATTCCTGTTGTGGTGTGATGTGTGTGTGGCTTTACCTGGATTGCACGATTAGTGGTATGGGACACTAGTCACCAAGGTATTGCAGCGGTCCTCGTGGTGGCCGTGACGCGATTATGGAGTTGTGGCCTTTGTGTAAGGTTCACGTGTTTATTTCTGGGATAACATGTGTTATCCAGGGCATGTGTTGCCATCTGTGATCGGTACCCTCGTGTACTATGAAATCGGTGGTTTTGTTGGAGGGACTGTTGGAGGGGGAACGACGGTTCCCAGGGGAATAAGGTTGGACTTGGTGTACAGCGGTCCTGGAGGTAAAGGTTGGAACTAGTTATAAGGTTTGGGGGTAGCCACAAGGTTGGAACAGGGCATAAGGAAGACATATCAACTCGTGATGAGTGATGTCACGAGGGTTTGTGTAGCCGTGGTTGTGTGTTCTCTTCTTGTGACGTGTGTAGTCACAAAGGCATGTGTTGCCATGTGTCGTGTCTTTACTTCCTTTGCGTTGTGCATGTCGGGTTTTGATCTATTGTGTGATGATAGATCATGCCTTGAGCTGTTCTTGTGAGTCGTGTTGTTCTTTGTGGTCTTGGGACGTGTTCCCGTGTTCTTGTTGAGAGTGTTGAGTCTTGTGTTGACTATTACTCTTGGTTTTGTACTTATATACTTATGTATTCCGTTTCGAAAATGACTTTACAACTTATATCTTATCTATGTATGATATTTCACATGTATTGGTGGGTTACCAGCATTATTCGCTGACCGGGCGTCGTCCCATGTTTATTGTGTTCTTTCAGGTGATGTCTAGGCGAGTGCGCGGTCTAGTACTTGCTAGTTTAGCTTCTCCCTTGCGTTTTGTGGCCTGTGTGCCCGTTTAGATGTAGAACTTTGAGACAATGGGTTTAGATGTAAACATTGCAGATGTTGCCTGTGCGTTTATCCTTTTGGTAAACGTGGCATAGCACCCCGTGTTCCAGATTATATCTATCTATCTATCTATCTTTCAGTCTTCCGCTGTGATTGTTGTTTGGTTTAGTTATCTGCATGTTTAAGGCTTTTAAATAGCATGTTTTTAGGGGGTGTTACACCACTCATGGCCGAAGCATTCACGTGCAAGGAAGCCTTATAATGGTTAAAGGATCGAGGCGAAAGTTTGGTACGACTCTACACAGATTGCCTATCATTACAACGCTATCTCACCTCACCACCATCTACCGTTCGTTCGTATGTTGCCTATGCTATTGATAGCTGCAAGTCTATTACGACTTCGTTTGATTTCTGTTCTTTTAATTTTATTCCTAGATAAGATAATTATTTAGCGAGCATGCTTCATCCTCTGCGTTTCAGCAGTCTACTGTTATGTATTGAGATCTATCCCCACCTGATATTATTGAAGCTTATTTCTAATGAAATCACCACTTTATTTTCAAAAAAAAAAAAAAAAAAAAAAAAAAAAAAAAAAAAAAAAAAACAGATACATGTAGTTTGTTGCTTCTTTTCCTTTATTATACAAAAAGAGAGAAAAAACTCAAACTCAAACACAATCCCAATCCGATTATATTATACATCATTTAATAGTTGAGTAGTACAATATTATTTTAGTGTTTGGTTCAAGTTATACAAGATAACTAGTGTTATATTTGTTTGGAAATATAAGACTTTCATATTTGGTTCAAGTTATGTTTCTTAGGAAATGTCACATACCCTCCACATAAATTTTTTAGCTATTGAAAGGGAATGTGAGATACTCTCTAATTTTTTAAGTATTTTCACATTCCTTTGTCTTATTACTAATTTTGAGTTTAATTAATTTGTAAAATTTATCTTATTACCGTTGCCTTATATACATACCTCAATTTTAAACAAAACACAAAAATTCAATATTCCCAACAATCTAACATTAATGTAACATTCCGTGAACAAGATTTTGGGGACTTGGGGTAAATTAAGAAGCAAGATGATATACTCTAATGCCACGTAAAGGTTTAGTCAAATATCACTCTAAAATTTCTTAGCTTCAAAAATATATATATCATATAAGATATACGATGTTTACAACATTGAACTATTGAACTATGTTCATATATTCAGAATTGCATTACAATGAGGAAAAAAAATGATGTATCATTACAAATAATCTCACTTCGAGTTGGCTAAAATTTAATTCTCTCTTCCAGCCTCAAACTGCTTTAGAGAAGCGGGACCTGGAACAACGTGTAGACATAGTTTTAATGAAAATATGTATGTGTACATGTTCCATGCAGACAACAAGGATAAACGCTAAAAGTATATCGCAAATTATGGTCCACACAGTGCTATGTGGATAATAAAAAAAAATTACATTTTTAATATACTAAAAGTACATTATTTGTGTATTGAATATACATTATATAAAATAATATACTTTTAATACTCAAATAATGTACTTTTCCTTGACTACAATGTACATTTTTAATATATTATATCTATTCGATCAATGCGGCCAGCCAAACTTCGAATAATAGATTCGAAGTACATTATTTGTATATTGAATATACATTATTTGATTGTATACTCCACACAGTTGTGTGGACCATGGTTCACACAATAATGATTGTCTCCACGCCCCGACCCGATAGAGCATGTGGGAGGAGGTAATTTACGATAACTCAGTGACTCAGCAGATAGGGCCAAATGCAGATTTGCATAAGGAATCTGTCCACTTTAAACATAATTCTCACACTGTCATGTTGAATTTCAACCTTTAGTCTCTTCTTCCAAATACTACTTACTAAACCATTAAGCTAAGCCCGTGCAGACTTCAACTAACATTTCTTCTTTTAATTCTCGACTATCTATTTGACTAAACTTATTCCCTTAGACTTTTCGTTCAAGATGTCCAAACTACCCCCAATTTTTGGACATTTGGGAAGAACTGAGTTTAGTCAATTCAAAAAGTCAAAAAACTAAATTAAGGGGGTGTTTGGTTCACACATGAGAATCAAAATCAAAGACTTGATAATGGTAATGAATTTTGGTGAAAATATTTTACATGTCTGATAGTATGGTGAAATTGGAATGATTACCAATTTTGGTTGTGTATGACCCTATAATGGGAATAAATGTTTTAAAAATACAAAAATAAAAAATTAAGGTAATTGATCATAATATAATGACATCTAAAGCATCAATATAAACAAAAAAAAAAAAAAAAAAAATCAAAACAAAAATCTAAAAGTACTACTCCAAACTTAAAAATTAGATTACCAATAAGATAGAATGATACATTTTTAATTACGGAATAGTTGTGTTTTAAAAAGTTATCAACCAAACACTAACTATGATTTTGATTCTCATTCCTAGTGTGTAAATCCATGAACCAAAGACACCCTAATAGTTTTTTTTTTTTTTTTTTTTTTTTTTTTTGGAAAGACACCCTAATAGTTAAAGACTAAAAAGTAAAGATAGCACTATGATGGAGAGATCAAAAATTAGTATTTATACATAATAGGAAGTGAATGATATGCATATTTAAAGAGAGCTGAGGAAAACTTACAAGTCCACAATAGCAATTGTGCCCATTTCAATCACTCTCAGCAAGCAAGACAAAGAGTTCTTCATCCTTGATCGCACCCGTCTCCATGGTTCTTTCCAGTATACTGAACCCCCCAGCATCCTTGATTGACGCACGGGCACCCCTGGAAAAACATAAACGCATGTTATGGCAAGGGAAAGGCTGGGTATTGGTGTAGGAACTAAGCGCTTCAGCTTTCACCATTAGCTCATTGGTTCGATCTCTATTAGAGTTTTAGACCTAGCACTTACATATGCAGGTTTGACAGTTAACAGAAAACGGGGAAATCCCAGCCAAGATGGCTAAGGATACAAACTGGTAACCACAAAGTCACGAGTTTGAATCCCAATCTTCTTGGTTTGAGCTGGTCAGGGGCAACCTAGGCTGGTTTAACTCCCTGTAGTCCTTTGCCGGTTAGGGTCACAAGGCGGGATTAACCCAATACACACCCTCGGATAGTGGCTGCGGGTTTTCCTCATCACCCCAAAAGTTAACAGAAAACATATTGACTGAGTTGAATGTTCATAGATTAGAAACACAATGTCATGTGCCATCTCATCTCAAGTGTATAAGGGTAAAGAATATTCAAACATGATTTGCTTCATAGTAGTTGAATGCTCATTTGAGGTGGATATAAGATTACCTTCTAAGCAAAAATTTTGCCAATTTGTTATTCCCCGTGGAGATGCAATGCTGCAGAGCGGTCCTTCCATGGAAGTCACGCTTGTTTATATCCGCACCAAATTGCAGCAGCAGTTCAACGATTGTAGGATTGTCTGTTTGGCATGCCAGATGTAACAATGAACAGCCTTGAAGACACAACTTGATATTCTCACAGGCTGCTGGATCATACTGTCTCATTTCAGAATCTTGAAATTCTATTTGAGGTTCATGTTCAGTAACGTGATGATACGGTGTCGTACCAGCCACCTCATCGTAAGTGGCATTGACTATGTTAACATCTGACACTACGATGAATCGGTAGACTTCCTTTAAATCGTTTGCCTTCACTGCTTCCCAGATGCTTGTTACGTCATTTCTGTTATATGCAAAAGCTTCTTTGTTGATGAACAGCTTTTCTACATACTGGATCACAATAAAAGCTTGAATCAATGTTTTCCAATAAATTTAAGTGCCAATCTAAGGAACAGTTACATGACTCTTCTTGAAGGTTTCCAAAATGTGAAGCATGCATGCATACTATGAAGGTGAAGAAACTTATAATAACAAAATCTTTGTCTGAATTGCATTGTTTTTAAAGAAATATCTTGAGAATGACGGTTCAATACAAGTCCAAAAGAAAATTTGGTTTTTCTATAAGAGCATATGCAAATTAGACATGCAAAGCATTCATATACATTTTACCTCTCAGGAAAAAAGATTGAGTGGAAAGTTCCCCCACCCTCAACCCTTTCCCAACAACTATTGTTTTGACAGAATCACCGGTAAATGCCTGTCAACAAATCACAAAACTGGTCCTCCCTCGTTAATGTGACCAATGTGCAAGTCCAAAAATTTTAAGCTATGCCACAACTTCCCAGGACAAATAGGCTAATAACATAAGTGAACTCATTGAATCTGTAGAAATGGAAGATTTTGAAGATGCAAAAGGAATGAGGTACTGTTTGCACTTTGGTGCAAAAAATAATCTTGATTTTGATGTTAAAAGATAATGTGAGAATTAATATGTTTTCAAGTACACAGGTCTAACCAAATTAACATTAATCCTTTGGAAAGTATCGACCTAAGAACAAAGTGTAATAGGTTATCATTGTAAGGATTAGGCTAAGTATAATCCAAAGAGAACAGCTCAAAGGTTCCAAAATTGTTTTTAAAGTATCAAATGAGTCCTTTTGAGTTTCAAATTTCTTGGTGAGAAAAAGCCTTGAGGAAGTTCCAAAGAGTTGTCTCTTTGATACTGATTTGCAAGAGGAATTGCACTTTGTAACCCATCAAAGAGGGTGTTCGATGAGTTGGTCGAGGCTCCTGCCAACCTTGAAGAGGGCCAAGGATTAGGGATTTCAAAAATCTTAGAGACCTTAGGACTGCACAATTTTTACTCTTGCTGGGACTCTGAACCCGTGACTTGGCTTATCACTACACCAAAACTATAGCTCACAGCGAAGGCGCAACTTTATTTCTTTATATACCGCTACCACATTTCCGAGAGGTAGGGTGCTGGACCTGGCTCTTCACCTGCCTCCACTAAACAATCCCCTTAGCTACCAATTGCTAAATTTGGCCCTTTACCGGCCTCAGCCCAACACTTATGTATCCATTATCCTAATTCACCCCTTTTTAAGATATATTTAGAATAACAAGGAGCTACATAAAGATATAGGAGTCTCTACAGCAGGAATAATATAATCAATTTAGTTACTTCAGGATCTGGGAAATATTGGCTAAGAGATACAGAATGGATATCAATATAGAATATAAAGAATAATTTTCAGGAGACAGATATGCACCTTCGCCAGAATGTACTTCTCCTTTTGGTGAAAAGCATCAGCTGGGTTTGGTTTAGAAACAGAAACAGTGCTCGTCGTCCTGAATGGATGATAATTTAGAAATAGAAGGGCAAGTAGTACTTTCTTCAAAATTGGAAATGCTATGTATAATTTCTTTCAACCAATGCACTATAAATATGGAATTTAACATAACAAGCAGGTTAGCAGGAAATATAAATTTTCATTTGTTAGAATGGAATTACCAATAACACTGAGTGCCCTATTTTGATATTAAATTTAACCTGACCTAAAAATTTATGCATTTACATTTTAGCTGGACTGTTGTTCAAATATGAAATACAAACTAAGGGTGTGTTTGGTTCGAACATGGGAATCGAAATCGGAATGGGAATCAAATACTTGGTAATTGGAATGGATTTTGATGAACGTATTTTGCATGTTTGGTAGTAGGCTGGAATTGGAATTGGAATGATTACTAATATTGTTGTTTGGTTATGTATGACCCTATAATTGGAATAAAGGTTTTAAAAATACAAAAACAAAAAATCAAGGTAATTGATCCTAATATGATGACATCCAAAGCAGAATATGAACAAAAAATCAAAACAAAAATCTAAAACCACTAATCCTATGTAGTGAAGAGGCGAGGAAATGAGGAGGGATAAGGTTGAATTAATGGAATGCTACCTGATTTAAATTAGACAATGAGTTTTTTTAATTATAGAGGTAATCACATCCTATATCTGTGTTTTAAAAAGTTGTCAACCGAACAATGTGTATGACTTTCATTCTCATTCCTTGTGTCTAACCCCATGAACCAAACACATCCTAAGTTTATTACTTCTTAAAAGAATTCCCTGATGAGAAAGTATTACTTTTTTCATATTACCTGTTCAACCTACATAAAAATGGTTGGCATCAGCACACCCTTCAACTTATAGATTACAAGTATATGACAATAAAGGAATAGCAAATAGCAATAAATGCCAAAAAGAAAAATAGCTTGCTGGAATAGTAAGTATTTCACGAGGAAACATACTCATTGTTTGGAAGTAAAAGCCGGTCCTCCCACACGGAGTTACAATAAGAATTACCCAATGTTTGAAACAAGTCCACTACAGTAGGTTCCCAAACTCTGACATCTAAAGTTATGGACCTTACCTGCAGTTAGTAGAGTATCTTGACAATCAATCAATATCAGAGATTCAAAGCAATTTAATTACTTTCATTACAGTCATGCATTCATTGCAGGTATCAAAGACCAAAATGTAGTATGAAAGATGTTTGAGGGGGCAAAAAACATTCACCTATAATGGTTACCACTGGGGGGGCATTTGATTCAAGTAATCAGAAATTACCTGGTAATGTGAGGAGGGTAATATACTAATATGATATAAAAGGTTATCAAGTAATCTCAAATCGACGGTAATATTATATTACTGCCACATACGAAACAAGGTAATATTAATGTCATTGTTCTTAATCCTGCTTACTCAACTTACACTCTTAAGATAGCATGCATAATAAATATGAAATATGAAGGCTTGAAACATGGTGTTTAAACATTTTTAAAATGAACCTTGACACACATCATCTACATACCAGCAGGCAAACAAGTGTTATAGCAACCTCAGCCAATTGCATTTTTAAAGTCAACTGGATTAATTGGGTCAAACAGTAATGTATGTACCTTAGAGATATGAACACCGAGATTTCTATGAATGCCAGAGCACTCTATGCAAATCAAAATGCCAAGATTAAGAGAAGCCCAATTAGGTTCAGAAACCCCACACTCTGCACACTTGTCATTCCCAGGAATTTCTCTAAGAATACTAGACACAGAATCAACTTGACCAACTCTCATGCTAGGCAGTGAACTGTCAATGTTTTCAAGTGACTTATCATTGATGCAAGCACCATAACTGTCATTGCTAATCTTGACATCACTTTGAATGGAATCTAGCTGCAGCAGACAAAAGAAATCTTAACAGACTTTATCAGGTAAGTATTTTACACAAGAGAGATGAGGTTTTCAAGAAACCAACCTGATTTAAATGAGAATTCAAGAGGGAAGCAATAACTCCAGTGATTTTATTCATCCAGTCAATCCTATCAGCTTCATTTTCAGCCTGCCAAAATCAAGGAGAGAGTTTGAACAATTACTAGAAACACATGGATCATTACAAATGTTACAAATTTTTACAGCAATACAGACACCAAGTCTAGAACAACTTTAGCAAACAAAAAAGACCTTATTGCTAGTTTTAATAAGATCAAATGCAACCATAAATGATAAATCTTTTGAAACAATGCCTACTAAAGTCTAAGTGCATGTCTTTTAAAACAATGCCTATTAAAGACTTCACTCCAATAATTAAATGAATAAAAAGGTTTTGAAGTTTTTGCAACAAAAATTATTCCTTTTACTACATCATTCAGGTAGGCAGATTTAACCTTTAATCAATTCAATTTGAAAGTTATAAATCTGGCATGCCTTAACAGATAAAGCATAACTAACAAGCTTTGCACAAAGCCACCTGTTCTTCACTCACACAACTTGCCCAAAAGTATACAAACCAAAATATTTATTTCCTCTATTTACAACAACAATATCACTGCATATCATATCTTAACCAAAAGTGAAACAATAGTGTTCTTTTATGCATGCTGAATTGCTGATTGCTGATTTTCACAGCAGGGAGTTGGTGGATGGAATATATAATCTTCCACATAAATGTTACTGCCTTTTGGTCACAAGTAAATATTTAATTTCAAAGTATTCAGGCTAAAACTTTAATTTCAAAGTATTCAGCCTATCATCAGTGATGTGAATTTGTAGAGACATGTTTGTTAATTGAGATTGAAAAGGGAAAATTAGGAATAGAAATCTTCAATTTTCTTCCCAGAAGAAATTTGTATGATGCTTTGTTGAACTGATCAGTTTTTCAATTTTGTTAGTTAATAGAGGATCTAAACAGTTCACAAGTCTAACAAGGCACTCGTGGCACAAACACAACTGTAATGTGCATAACGGGCTACCATATTTGTTCTGTCAATCAGCTATAAGGCAGAAATTGCATGATACTCCCTCTGCCCCACTATTTTGTCTCGCTTTCTATTTTTGGTAGTCCTTTTTAACTTTTCTCCTTTGAAAAGTTACCATTTTTTTACTTTTTTGTATACTAATTTTCCTATTGTAATCTTCTACCATTTAAACTGACAAGACAATAATGGTCCACCTTAAACCACCAAAAAGGACATCATAGGCACATCATCCACTGCTAATAAGGGAATTGATTTACCTCAAATTTGGAGGCAAAAAGGAGGATGACAAATTGCAATGGGCAGAGTAAAAGAAAAAGTTTATTGATAACAGCCACAGATAAAGTTCTGTTTTTAACTGGGTTGCAAGTAAATGGCCCCAGCCAAATTCATCAAAAATACTTTTTGTTTTATTAATTTCCTCTGATTTACTGTATTTGTCATTCTCTTCCTTCAGTAGTAGTAGTAGTAGTAGTAGTAGTAGTAGCAGCAGTAATAAAAAAAAATTAATAATACATTTGTATTTTCACCTGCAACGTGTAAGTTTTTGATGGTGATATTATTCTGAAGCATAGCCGCAGATCTGTATCTTCAGCATCAACTTTTATTATTGAAGTGCGAAGATCAACAGTACGAAATCCCAAACTGTCTTCACCAAGAGATGGTGACTTATGATACCTTGCCCTAAATCTACTAAATACCCTACTATTGTGCTCTGCGCCAGGGGGTGGTGGAGATCCCTGGGAGAATAACAACAATGAAAAAAGTTGATTCAAAAGATTAAAGAAGACTAACAGTTGAATACCCACAGCATGCATAAGCATTATCAATGATGAAAGGAATATTAAAGGATTTAAAACTGGTACAAACAAATATGACATCCTTTATCAGAACAGTTAAACAAAAGATCCATGGAAGGATAACTATTAGAATTTTCTCAAAACAAGGAGACATAATCTTTGGGTACAAATGCTTTTTAATTAACCAGAAATACTATTTGGCAATTCCACCAATGAACAGGGGGGTTTCAGGTAGGAATACGACTAACCTTGAATCTAACAGATGTGGAAAGAAATCATTTGAAAATAAAAAGGTCAGACTCCATGTGCAAGGCACCCACATCATGCAGATCAGAGGAAGGAAGATGCATGCAACCTTAGCTCTAGTTTTAGAGAGGTTCATTCCGACACCTGAACTTGTTGACTCAACAGTCAACAAGTCAACACTAGGCCAATATACCAGGCCCAAGTTTATATTTTAAGGTGTACCAATTGTTAAGGTAGTTAGACCGTCAGAAGTTGAAAGACATCTAACAAATATTGCAACATTTTACATTTGTACTCATTCCATACATGATGCAAGCACATAACATGAAGGCACAATTTTGCATTTTATTTGCCTGCCATAACTGAAGTTGTAGGAACCATGAAAAAGGCTGCAATTAAAATTAAGTAATACAGGACTTGATTTCAGAGATGCAGTTGAGGGTCCTCTTTCTTTTGGAATCACAAGAGAAACAGATGTTAGAAACTAGGTTTTCCAATGGCCCCAATTGCTTCCTAGAGGAATAATTAGTTGGGCATCACTTCTCAACGTCACCCAGCAGAGGGATCAAATGCAAAGCTACATACAATAATTCAACTTTACCAATAGGAAAATCTTCTGCAGAAACATGATTCATAGAGAACACCCTCTTCCTAGACAAGGAATGGCTAATTGATCAAGTAGTCTCAAATTTTGTTGACAAATCTATTCAGTCATCATATAAGATAGCAAAAGGAATAATTAGTATACCCCTGATCTGGGACCCCTGTGCCTATAATAATATAAGTTGCCAAGACTGTCAAGTACAAAAAATCTCCTCTTCCAATCAGCCCTCAAACTTGAAGATCTTTTCAAAAGATATCCCTGCTTGATTGTTTGAACCTGAAAGCATAGAACATATTCAATTTTTAATGCAGAGGGGCCAGAGTTCAAAGTCTAGCATAAATGTAGTTTAATTGAAGTGCAGTATGTCCAGAAATTTCTTTAGACACCAAAAATATTATCTTGCAGAGGTAGATTTATCTGTAGCGCAGGAAGATATTGATATAAGAAATAGGGAACATTTTGAAAGGTATTACTTACTTCACTAGACAGCATAATTGCTTCTATATTTTTGTAAGAACTCATACCGACCCCATTTGAGCTAAAAGTACTCGTTGAAGTACTGATATTACTAGATGCCTTCATACGATCCAGCTCTGATTGTGTCCTGAACTCCTGAATCCTTTTGGCAAGCTTGTCTTGTTCAATTTTGGTCTGTTCCTTTGATTGTTGGGCATATGTCAAAACCTGATTATTGGAACAACAAAATAGTAAAGCGCATAGAAACCACATTTAATATGCTATGCCAGTGATGTTAAATTATGCACTCAAGAAACATCTGAAACACTATTGACAACAAAAGCAAATATCCTTTTGCAACCATCACTGGGCAAACTACCACCCCTCTTATCTTCCAGATGCAGGTCAGGAGTACTGGGTTCCCACCCCAATTATGTAGGAAATCCCTTTACCAAGGATGATCTAAGAGACCTACAACTACCAAACAAGGGCAAGAAGAAAAGCAGCATACAATCCCATCAATTACAACCCAAATATAGCAAAAATCTGATCAGTTATCCACATCATTCATTTCATTATAATTAGCTCTATGAAGCATGAACCATTCAAAACAATGTTGGTGTTATTGTGCATATGGAAGTGTATATTTCAACTCCATTCTGCCACATATTGAAAGTGGGGTAGGGCTAACTTGGATCTAGTTTAGAACAGTATTTATAGTCTGTATTTTTGTATCTGGTTCTGTAGGTTCAGTGCATTGCATTTCTTTGATGATTTTAAGTACAGATAGCATTTCTATTGGTCTCTGTTATTGCATGTTTATCTTTATTCTTGCATCCTTTAGGAGAATCTAATAGCTAATGCAGTTATAAAAAAAAATAAAAAAAAAATAAAAAATAAAATAAAATAAAATAAAATAAAAACCAACAAATTAACTTAATTAAATGTACAATTGAGGCAGGGCCATTAGATTTTAAATTTCACTCAATTTTATATGAGATAAGCTGTTAGCTTTTGTTAAATTTGAGAATAATTAACTGTTCTTTTCACTCATTCACTGAAACATTCTCAAGCACAATTAACTTCTGAATGAGATCGATACAAAAATTCCATAAATGAAAATTTTCCGTATTTCTTGGCTGGAAAAATTACTTGTCCTTTGAACTTCATGTCTACTAAGACCACCTTCATGGACCACTCAACCTTCTGAATTTATATATATAACAGATATTTTTAAGTCATATCATTGTCACATTTTTAATTTATGTGCAATTTTTTTCCATTTCTGACAGAAGATTTTACAAGATGAAAATATACATAATGATATTATTTGTAACAAATAATAAATACAATTGCTCAAATACTTTTGGCTTTAAAAATTATAAATTCAAGTAATTATAAAGTAAACAGCACAGAAACTTTTATAAAATACATTCAATTTTAATAATTATAAATTTAAAAAGTATAAAATACTAACTTTGCTATTAACTAGTAATATAAATATCAAATTGGTTATAATTTCATGTCATTTTGGTTGCAAAATGCACACACACTACTCTAGCCACAACACAAATATTAAACTTTCATATTTTTCTTTGAAGGGGTGAAAGACACTGACTAAACAACTCGCCTCTACAATCTACATATCAAGTGCAATGATTCCATCAAATTCATTATTTTGGCTTATTTTTTCTTTCGTTTGTTCATTTTTCTATCTTATGAGGCTACACATCAGTTCTTGATACCATGAAGAGACAATGGCCAATGGGACTAGTAAAGTTGGAGAGAAATAAATGTATACTTAGTGAACTAAAACAAGAAAGTCCACATGCTAGAAACTTTAAGTGGAATTACCCCTAAAGAAATTATGAAACATTGAAACCCATCATAACAATGCTTTCTTTCAAATCAAGTTTTCCCAAACATAGAATATGAACAATTTTTTCTTTGGCTTGGGAAAGCAACTAAAATTTATTTTATTTCTAGAGAGAATTGCACTTTTGGTCCCTAATAATAGGGTAATAGTAGATTTAGTCCATGTGGTGTAGGTGTCATTACTTTTAATCCCTAAGTTGTAGTGAAGTAGCACTTTTGGTCTTTCTGTTAACATTTTTGTTAAGATTTACTATTATTTTTCAAAAATCCTAGTTCACTAGAGCTAGTAAATTAGTAACAGAACTTTACCTCTTGTTTATCTCCTTCCACCAAATGCACAATTCAACTCCATGATTTAGTGGCTAGAAACAAAAAAGTGTAGACCATTGACCTCCATTAAATTAATAGAAAATTACAAAATATTTAAAAAATCAGCGAAATGAAGGTCAGTGGTATGCATTTTTTGCCACTAAAGTGTGAAGTTAGAGTGTTATTTAGGGGAAAAGAGAAATATGAGGTAACATTTCATTAATAGCTCTGATCAACTAAGATTTATGAAGAGTAATGGAAAATGTTGACAGATTTATTAATGGAAAGACCAAAAGAGCCCACCTTGTTGACAACCCAAGGACTAAAAGTGGAATGAATCTGCTATTACCTTATAACTCAAGGATCAAAAGTGCAATTTGCCCTTATTTCTAAAGGAAAGGATGTACCTGATGAATGAAAGGCTCCATTTGGCTCAACAAGTCATGTCCCTATTTGGGGAGCAAGAGGAAATAAAATTTGTCAGCTTGATGAATGAGATTTGAATTTGCTATAGAGAATGGAATGATTAATAAAGGAGAGACACACCAACTTAAAGTATCTTAGGTGAGCATCCATAATTGCACTAAAAGATTCCAAAAACTCGTGCTTCTTTCTTGCCTCAACATTCATGAGAGCATTTACCTGAATTCCTTACGATCAACAAGGCAAAAAGATTAGAACATAGTGGTGATGAGTTTCAACAAGGTAACAACCAAATAGTCAATAATGCACTATACATACTAAATTAAAGCGGCTTCTTTCAAAAGCTGACTTTGAATTGTGTAGGTCCTGTGATAGGTTGAGCCAATAAGTTAGTCTAAGAAAAAATGAATATTAAACATAAATGTTCAACCATACAGTTGATTGCAACTTTGACCACTAACATTGAGTTCAGCATTTCCAGAGATACGAGCAAGATATGAAACGATAGTCATCATGGACTTTAAAGAGATCTGGTTGACTAGACTGTAAATGTTAGCTTATACATACTCTTTTGAGATCACAACTATCAATTCAATAAAAGGGGGGACCACTTGGCATCAAAAGGACAAGGGGCCACACCACATATGCAGTAGGTATGGCAATTTCCATGCCCCAAACCTGCCCCATCCTACACTTACCTAGGCCTGCACCACCCTGCAACTACACTACTTCAATCTCACAACTGTCCCTACCCCGACCAACACATCTCACCTGCCCTGCCACACCTGAGACTTTAAGGCCCAACTCACTAGTAGAAACTTTTTTTTCCGTTTCTTGAAACCAATCTCTATTGAGTTTCTTAGCAATTTAATCCCTAATTGACTTAAACATTACACTAATATTGTGTATATAAACATAGCTTCTAGTACTCCAAGCTATCACTCCCTATAACTAAGGAATGCATAGGCCTATTCTAAACATGCCCAACCAAATCAACCTCTAGTTTAACTTCATTTGGAATCATTCGTACCTTAACTTCAAAAGTATGATTCTTGAATTCTCACACATTAGCATTTCATTTTAATAACCCTTGAAGCTTATAGCACACTAATCAATAAAAATAAGCAAACCTAATTACAATCAAACAGCATTCCTATCAACACATGATCATGTTTAGTTGCTCTTTCCAACTATTTTCATGTAGTAAAGATCAGATGAACAATCATGTCAAAAGTGACATATACAGCAACATACAAATATACAGATAAAAGTATAAAGTAAATTTGAGGAGAGCATACTTCTTCGAGTTCAGTAATAACATCATCGCGTGTACTCTTCTTTAACGAGGCAAACTTTTCACGTGCCTGGCAATCCATTGATAACCAGAACTTGTTAATGTAACCTTAAAACCCCAGGAATAAGGTAAAGAATCCAGACAAGAGTGCTGTTCTTTAAAAAATAAAAATAATAAGATGAACAGTAAGTCATGTAGCTTTCTCTGTTTGGTAGTAAAATGAAATCGGAATCATTACTTAAATTGTTGTTTGGATATTGAAAACTGTGGAACCACAATCAGAATTATAAAAATAATAAAATTTTAAAAAAATTTAAAAATTTAAAAAAGAAGTTATTCACCATAGCAATCAAATCAACTCTCTTTTTTGTGGTGAGGCCAATTTGAGAAGGGAATTTTGCATAAATCTTAAAGGTTACATAAGTGTTTTAAAAAATTATACGGAGTAAAAGTATATGTATGGGAGCCTAGAGTTCTGTTCAATCATCCCAAAGTAAACTATTACTGTGCAGTAGCAGTAGAAAGTAATAACTAATAAAATAACAAATAAAGTGAGGGAAATTTTAAAAAGAAAATTAGAAATACACCATTTCTCATCTCACTCTCACAAGGCCTACAGAGTACAGACTACCATTTTTCTTTTTCAAATTTTTCTCTCTGTCTTCTTATTCTAGCTAGACTCTCTTCTTAAATTGACACTTCTTATTCCACTCAAATTAGGTTTGTTTCTTCCCCATGATATTGATCTAGCTTTCCCTGTAGTGAAAATTCAGCGGGTTGTTCAATTTTCCATTTAGGGTTTCTTCAATAGATGCATACAGTTGTATGAGTATGTTTCTGTTAGTATGTTTTTCTTGAAGCTGCGAATGAGTTTAATAGTATAAATTTGGACTCTTTGCATTTCGATAGAGGAAGAATTGCAAAGGAGGAATAGGCTTGAGGAGATGGAGAGCAAAAAGCCAGAATGAAACCTAACAAATGAATAGCAATCATATCTAACACTTTTTGCTTCCGATTCCATCCTCAAAGTGGCAAACCAAACACCCCCTAAATGTTATTAGCACATGTTTGTTTTCAACAAAAAGGAATATTAGATGTTCTGATGATCTGTAGTTTCCCTTGCACATTGATATGGAATTTTGAGGCTCCTGTTCTTTCTGGTGTAAGGAGAAAGAAAGCATGGTTTTCAGGAATTTATGAACTGCTTGAGCTCCTTGAATTCCTCAGAAACAGAGGAGCTGCATCTAAGGGTCTGGAAACCTGAAAAATGACTTCCAGTAATCATTTTCCAGATTTTCCAATGTATCCAGGGAAAATAAAATCAAAGGAAAATACTCATTCTGGTCAAAGGAAAAAAGGTCCAATTTGGTGGAAAACATCTTCCTAGAATTTTAGTCAAAAGACCTTTTCCGAATTCCTTTTTCTCCTCTCTCTCTCTCGGCCCTCTCTCTCGTCTCTCTTCTCTATTGCAATTTGCAACCTTATGAAACAATTTTGAGCTGCAACATCACAAAAAATGGAAAACTAACTACAATTTGAAAATTCGCTTGATATCGCAGAACCCAAACTCGATATGTTATGTGAGAGCATAGAACTACATGACAAAGTTACGCAACACGCACACCACCCATTGAAGCCATTCGACAAACAAGTGGAAGCCAACCAAAGGTCAATACGTAAAGTAGTAACTTGACCAGGATTGTTCAGTATGGTACACCACCCATTGTGACAATTCATCGAATGAGTGGAAAATAAATTAAAGATTAAGGACACAGCAGTGACCTTGATAACACCACTCGTTGTTTCTTAATATTTTATAAGAAACAAATGGAAGCCAACCAAAGATCAATACGTAAAGTAGTAACTTGACCTGGATTGTTCAGTATGCATGTACACCACCCATTGTGACAATTCATCGAATGAGTGGAAAAAAAATTAAAGATTAAGGACACAGCAGTGACCTTGATAACACCACTCATTGTGGCAATTCGTGAAACGAGTGGAAATATATTACAATTACTATTATTACATAATTAATATTTTATAAGAAATAACTTTATAATATATTTCTGTTCATTTTCCAAAACAGGAAAATGACAGTTTTTTTTACTTCCAATCAAATAGAAAAAATAAAAAAATAAAAATAAAAATAAAAATAAAAAAGTTTCTAACTTTCGACCAAACAGCAGAAAATCAAAATGTTTTCCGAAAAATGAGTTATTTTTTGAAAAACATTTTCCGAGCTTCCAAACAGACCCTAAGTATAAAATCTTTCAAGCAAAGCCATCCAGTGAACCATAAACTCATATTCAACAAAATCCAAATGGTACAAAAAGAATGTAAAAAGTCCATGGCACAAAAAATGTCAAGGATAAGCAAAATTAGACTTGTGGCTTTCCCAAGTGAAAGGAAGCACCCTTCAAAGAGTGATTTTTAGATTTGGCAGATAGAATTTTTATTTGTACCAAAATTTGATGATTCCTTTTCATTTTTGCAGGGCTGTGAGAAAGGCAAAAAGACTTCTTTCCATCCTTGTATGTGCTTGAACTTTTCATTAAATATCATTCTCATAATTTGTAGTCAACAATATCTGCTGTCTTAGAATAAGCACCAGTAAGCTCTTTCTTTTCAGTTACTCCTACAAATCTTTACCTTTGAATTTAAAAATGTGTGGAGTTATTTAATATCATAATCTCACTAAAGTGTATTAGGTCTGAAAGTTCTAGTTCCCTGCACTCCCTTCAAAGGACACCTTTTCACTTTCCACTAGTAACTTGAACTTAGCCCCTCGAATCAAAATCATAACCACCCATTTCGAAGTCAATTTGAGATGGCTAAATCCAAGTCTATAATCCAAATAAAACAAAATAACAAAATTTATCTTCACTCTTTATTAAGCCATGTGCACCTGGTCATAAGCAGTTGTTGCTTTGTCAAATCTGCGACGAGATTCCTGCATTAACAGAAACAAGTTATAATTAATCTAGATTGTAATTTGACTGGTTCTAACATGGGTATCAATATTAGCAAAGTGAAAGTAATATATTGTCAACAAATTGGTAAATCAAACTAAAATACCTATCTAATACCGCTTCATACTCATTCTAAATTCAACAACAAATCTCCGTTTTTTTTCTGGTAAACCAGGAGGATGTTAACACACATAAGAAGTGTTACGAAAGTAAAGAGAGAATATTTCTTAATGTGCTGTCGTATATTGTCTCAAACTGTCTTATAGAAAAGAGAATACAAAGCCCTATAAATAGGTGCTAGAAGACTACGAAGAGGAAACAAGTTTCCATATGCCTACCTACCTAAATCCCTATAGAGATTCCAAATAGTATATCTATTTTCCAATTATTAAAAGTCAGTTGCTGAAACCAGACATACGCAAAACACTTCTTATGAATGTATGGGGTCATTGTATAAAATCTATGAGTGGTGTTGGTTTATAACTATTAACGCCCATTTGTCATATATGCTATCAAGGCTTCAAAATCACCCTCTCCTTTTCTTTCACAAGCTAAAAATATTGATGACTGCTATTCTTTGATCACATTATATCACCAAAAAGGTGGATACTGTCTTTCAAACAGCAGAAAAACAGCCCTCATGTTCTGTTTTACCTTGACATCTTGAAGACCAACAGACAAAAGTTCAGTCAAGCGATCAACAAGTACATGCTCCACCTACAAAAGAGAGCTGGTCATATTTTCAATAGTGCATGAAACATTAAAACAGAGTCTGCAATTGATAATAGAACCTCCAACGCATGCAAACTTTATACACTATGATATGAAGTTATGAAACATCTTATATTGGTTGCAATCTAGATGTTATTCCTAAATTAGTAACTTGTATCATAGGCATCATAAATTTCATGAAACAAAGGCACAGTAGACAGCCATGCATGGATAAATAAAGAAAGAAGTACCTTTTAATTAGTATTAAAAAATTAAAAAATAATAAATAAAGAGAGAGAGAGAGAGAGAGAGAGAGGGAGTTTGTGTGGGTGCTAAAAAGAGAGAAAGAAATCAGAAATTTATTGGTGAATATTTAACAAATAGCTAGCAACCGTATGGCAATTAATCAAAGTAATTTCACAATTGTATACTCAGACTCAGTCTAGCATCTGTTCCTGGAATGCAAAGGAGAGCAGGTCAGCAGGATATGTTGCTTTACCTGAGAACGGAGAAGTTCCTTATATGTAGCAAGCTCTCGAAATGCAGAAACAAATTTTGACATGATTGGGCCTGGGGGAGAGAGATAAGCATTGAAATCAGTCATAAATTGTGAGTTTTAGAACTATGAAAAATAGAAGCAGCACTATTCCATCTAGAAATGTTGTATATACTATTAGTTACTTTAAGCCCATCTATATGTAGCAAAAAGAAGTAAAAAATATGTCATTGAACTCCTAAGATAGCAAAGCATGCTCCATTAATACAAATTGTCAGACATGTGAGATATGTGTTCCCTAAGATGTCTAGGTGGATCATAATTTGTCTTAGCTGTAACCAAACAAGAATACTAAGATACATAGAATACAGTGTAAACTTCTATTTAGGAGAAAATAGAGAGGAAGTATATGACAGTTGAGACGTATTAACAGAGGCATACAGACGCCCATGGTAGTATTTAATAAAGAGAAAGGAAAGGAAGGATAGTCTGAAATTTATTTGTTTAGTATGTATTAAGAAATATGCTAATGCATGGTTTACGGTAGGCTTTGCACTAGAGAGAATTTATTGGAGAATATGCAGAAATAGCATCCATATGGCAGAACTCAACTGGATTATAAGGCTTGGTTGAGTTGAACTGAATTAAGACCATTAGTCCACAAAGATCAATTTCAACAATTTAAAATATTATTTATCAGGGATGAGAAAACCATTGTATTCCTAATATCCAAGGCTTTTCCTAGATAGCAAACCCTCTTCACTAGCAGGGAAGAAGGGGGAATAGTTTTTATCCCTGCGAAGTAATATGAAGCCTGCACAGGAACTATCTTAGAGCAAGAATTGTTATTCCTAAACTTGGCTGCCTCATTTTCTGTTCACCATCTTCCACTATACAATGCCTAATTCCTCAAAAACTAAAAACACTAAACAAGAAATGCCATATTTAGACACCACCTTATAGCAAAGAAGTAAATGTCTGCAACTACACTAACACCTTAAATCTTCAACTGCCAACAATTTAATTAACATATGCAAGGCTTGATAGCTCCTCAAGGGCATAATTTCACTTCAACCCACTTGTGTTTAAGAAAATAACTGCACCTAGACCCCGAGTTTTTATTCTCTATTTCACTTTATCCATAATACATTTTCATTTCCATTGTAACCCTAGTATTTTCTAATCCATAATTGATTTTCATTTTAATTTCCACTGTAACCCTAGTAATTTCATTACCGTCTTTGAAGAAATAATTTTCTTAGTGAAAAATAGGAAAAACAACTGTTTTATTGTTGACAAGGGTCCGGGCTTAATTTCTGAAAAGGACTTCAAGTGCTGCTGGACTAAATCTTACATGAACCATGTACAGTTCACCCTTCCTCCTAAGCAAAATTGCAAAAACACTAACCTAGAATATCAATAGTTCAGATAACACCTTATAGTGAAGTACAATATTGCATCTTCACTTGACTTGCTGCACATGAAACACTACCTTGTACAGAACTCTTTGCAGCAAGGTGCTGTCAGTATACAAGCAATTTCTTTGGTGTTATTCCTGGTGTGGGGGTCGGGGATGGAGGGATGGGAGAATGGAAGAGCAGCCATACAAAGAACCTTGATAGTATGATGCTCATATCAGACAAAAACTTGACACATAAATATGAAAGCAGTTTTAATGCAATTTTCAATATCATTCATAAGGTGCATCATTCAGATATATGATTTTGCAAATTTTACAACATTGATTGTTAAAAATCTTAACAAAAGAAAACATATACACTTTTGCAAGGAAAAAAAAGCATATGTAGTAAAACGTTTTTAAGGTTTACTGAGAGGGGCTAAGATAACATGCTTATTACAAGAATACCATTTCAGCGATAGAAAACACGCAATAAAACAGTTTAAGTCACCTCCAATTGACACACTGAGAGGATCGTCGTGACCTCCACCGAATACCTCCAATGAATCTGCAAAGATATTGTCACCATTGTGTGCTTCTCCAAGAGTGTCACTGATGACATTAACACACCATCAAACAGATTGAAACAGCAACCCCCACCCCCCGAACTTCCTCTTCATGTAAGCCAGAGGATGTAGTTCAAATTCGAGGATACAGATTTCAAAGATGAAGAACAGACATTGAAGGAACTTGAACATTTTTAACCTTCTAAAAGGATAATCATATTGTGCACAGAAACAGACATTAAAAGTTCCTAGTAAACACCAGGCATAAATCACCCTAAGGGAAGGAGCAAAAACAAAGTTAGAAACTCACCGATCACTGTAGGACATAAGTTTCAAGGGTAGGTGGTTTACAATGATTTATCATTATTGGTATCTATTAGGTTCAGGTATCACCAGAACATGGATAAACCCCCATCCACAGAAGTAGCAATGCCCAACAAATCCTTCACTGAAACCTCAATTCTTAGATTACCAGAGAAAGATAAAACTTAGTAAGGCATTATCATTTCCCACTTCCAATCAAGCTTTACTAACAACTTTAACATCACTTCTAGTAAAGCAAAATGAGTAATCACATGATTTCAGTCTCAATTACTGAAAGATTCATATTTCATCAACTCAACAGACTAAACAAAAACAAAAACAAAACAAAAAAATACATTGTGGAAAAATCAATTTAAAAAAAAAAAAAAAAAAAAAAAAAAAAAAAAGGAGGTTTAAAAACACAGTATTATAAAAGCAAGATTGGAATTTGATACTGACGTGTATTTCTTACACCCCTTGTATAGCTTATGGCAGCGGTCTCTCAGCTCATCTGTAGTATGTTCCAAAGATCTCACCTGAAAATGAAAACGAAATTAAAAAGTTGAAATTATTGAGGTAAAAAGAAAGTAAATAAGGCATGGAGAAATAAGAATAAAAATGGAGAAGATAAGGGAAATCCGACTTGTTTATGGAACATAGGAGAATCCTCCAACTTCATAAACGCAGCCATTCTGCTGTGTCTGAGAGCTACAGGGAAGTTTAGTTTCAGAGTTTCAGATCGAGATATGGAGATGGAGCATGCTGTCATGGGCTTTTATGTCATTTGGATGCCACCGCTGGCTCGTCATTCGTCAATCTCATTATAATAAAATTTCAAGTGTTCCACATCAAACCAGATTCACATTTATTTCCACTTTTCATCCCTCAATCTATATCTCTATTACCCAGTACCAACAATCGTTTTCTTCCCCACCCAGCTCCCATGGGTTTTTTTTTTCTTTTTTAGAAATAGGTATATTTTATTTTTAATTGATCTATATCAACTTAATAAAAATTTAAATCTGTCAATGACTTTATGGTCTAGTGACATAATTGTATGAAATGACTTTTTCAATGAAAGGTCATAGATTTGAGTCCTAGTGAGGGGCGCGGTATGAACCCTTTGTGCTTCGAATCAAATATTACATTGTAAGTTTGTAACATAGTCAGTAGTACTCAAAAAAAAACTTTAAACAAAACAAACAAAAACTCATATTCTTTTTTTTTTCCCAAAATTTCATTTATGTTTTGGTTGAGAACAATACAATATAGTCAAACGTATTTATCATGAGACGAGTCCAATTGTAGACAACTTAATGAATAAGAATCACATTTTAGTTATAAGTATTACAATATTTATCATGAATAACAATCAATTTTATTCTAAATACTATCACAATTTCACATATAAATATTACAATACCTATCATAAATAACGATTTATTTTTAATTCAAATTTATATTAAATTTTCTACAATAACATTAGAATCTTAATACTAAAAAAAATCTCTTTAGTAATTTTATCTAAAAAGTCTATTAGATATTATTATCCATATCTAATGATTTGGACTTTACATGATTATCTATAACAAATCAATTTCAATTAAATAATTTTACTTTATTAATAAGGAGATTAACCTTCAAAAACAAATTTACTATTGAACACTGCATATTACAATTTTGGGACTCATTAAATTGCTTATATTATGTAAAAATTGGTCCATGATTAATTTTTTACAATTATACAATTTAATGGGTCAAATGTTAAGTTGTTTGGTGCATTATTGTATAATTTTTTTCAATGAAGTTATATTAATGAATAGTGTGTTAGAAAACTTAAGCTGGAATTATCTCTATAAAGAAGGGATTAGCAAAGTGAGGTGGAATTTCTAATACCCATTCAAATTTGGAAAAATTACATTTTTAGTCCCTAAGTTATAACCAAGTTCTGACTCAGTCCCTAAATTATGACAGTATCTGAGTTTAGTCCCTCAGTTATGAGCAAAGTGGCGAGTTTGGTTCCTAGCATTAATATTCTATCTGCAGCTAACAGAAAACTTAAAAACAATTTAATAATAGAGGGTTAAAATAGAAATTTCAAATTATAATCCCCTTCTTATGTTGAAACTCATTGCGCAACCGTCATTATTTTCTTCTTATATCTAACGGAAGTGGGAGATTTCAGAGCTTAAGGCCCTGAATTGTCGCCGGTCTGGCCACTTGTATTTTGCGGGTTTTCCGTGACTCGTGAAACTCGGGGGCTTGTTCTAAAATGCTATGTGTTATGTGCTACGTGAATTTGTGGTTAAGCACCCCTTGGTTACGAGTCTTTGCATATGACCCGCATTATTTTTTACTAAACTTTATTCCTCAAATGTTTTTATCCCATATCCCCTATTTTTCTAAACTAAACTTACTATTTATTTGTAGTATGCCACTTGTGTGCTATATTGTGTGTACTATTATGTGAGGAAAATCTTTATATCCTAGAGGTGGTGCTTGTATTCCGGTTACTTGAAAAGTTGTGATGAAATGAGATCCGGTTGAGAATTCCCGGAAGGTTGCTTGAAAAGAATGATGAGATGATATCCGATTGAGAATTCCCAGAAGTTTGTGTTGGATATCTCGTTGGTAAAACCAAATAATAATCCTACAAAATATGGATTATTATTTTCTGTAGAAAAAGGGGAAAGAAAGATGAAGAGATTGGCTCGGGTTTGGTGTTGGGTTTTTAGCAAGAGTCAAGCGATCACTCTTTCCTTAAAATCTTATTTTCTACCTCCCACGAGTGCTAGGAGCGTTGTATGTAGCCTAGGCTTCCCAGGATAAAACTTGCCACGATTCAATGTTTGAGCACCCAAACAATGAATCCGGCGAACTAGAGCAACAGGATGAACACAATTCGGCTAAGAAGAGAGTAGAAGCAGAGAGTTTTGAGGCTGGAAAAAATGATTTTCTGTTAACATTAAAATACCCATGTAACAGCCCACTAACCTGAGAATTAATTTTGTAAGTAACTAAAGTGTGGAAAATTTTTCACCCCCCTTCTTCTTGTGCGTGAGAAAGAACCTCTATGTTATACAATTCAATTAACTTAAAAAGAGCTGTTGTATAAATAGTGGGGCAAATCCTCTTCCCAAACCAATGTGGGACAAAAGCTCACTTTTTTTTCCTTCATTTTCCAACTCAAATGGGTTTACTTTGAGAATCAATATCTCATTCACCCATTATCCGTTTTGAGCGTACAATATATCAATCTCTTCGTCTCACTACCAAGAACCCGAATCCACTTTGACCCCGACCCAATCGGAAGTGGACCCCACTGATAATTGTACTACAAAATAGCCACTTAACATGCCATTTTAAGCTATTTTTTCCAACAGTTTGTATAAAAGTAGCCTGGTAGAAAAATCATGGGTTTATATGGCGCTTGAGCTATTACCCGCTGGGCTTGGAATCCCAGTTAAGGATTATACACTAAAGGTAGCGGTCCCGTTTCTATGTTACTTATGAGATATGTGGGCGTGACGTTGTCAGGCCAGTCGAGAATTCCTGAGCCTAGATAGGTTCATTCACACATGGTGAAGTTCCTACCTCCCCACCGGTATGATGATTCAGTTGAGATTGACGAGACAGTTATGATTCATGAGAAGTATGATGACCCCTCCAATACTACCATCTATATAAATATAAAACTCTTGTTTTCTTGAGAGTGAGAGCATATTATTGATTTCATGCTTAATGCCAGTTTCACCTTGTTTTTTCATTGTTGCCTGATTATGCTTGAGTCGTTTATGTCACTTAACTTCCAAGGATATGTATGTTGTAGTCTTACAAGTTAGCATGTTACCTTCCCTTTTCCCTTATCTTTGTTACACTTTAGATTGCATGACATCTCAACCTTTCATTGATCTATTAAGTCAGCTTGATTCATATCTTGTTAGTGAGTAATAAGCATATATATACTTGAGTATGAATTGCATAAGTGTTTGTATATGGATTTCACTTGCATGTGAGCTTTATACTTATGGATAATTGTTATTATTGTATATGTATGTCTATATACGTGTGAACCTATTTGTCTTATATCTATGATCTTGATTGGCTTAACGTGTTATAAGTGTAAAACTATCTATTTTCTAAATCTAAATCTATATGTATTTTACAGGATAGAGTGTCTTATACTTAGCATTCGTGCTAACGGGTTATTTTTGTACACTTTTTACTTAACCCCTTTCAGGATTGACCGACAATTGCTGAGCGCGCTTAAATGGAGCTAGTTATATTATAGGGTTTTAGTTCTAGTTCCTAGTTACTTTGTCAATCCTCTTATACTTTGCCTTGATGTTAGACATGTGTAGCTTGGTCTACCTTCCTTATGTTTTGTAATGCGTTGACACTTAGGCCTGGGAGCCTTATTCTCTACTTGGAGCTTAGACTCTAGTTATTTGAGTTTGTGGGCCCTTATTGATGTATGATGATGATATTTGTTGGTTACTTTTCCGTGTAGTTACTCTGTTGAGGGTGACTACGGAGTAACATCCCCTTTGGTTGTATGATTGGGTAATTAGTATTTCTTTTACCCCTTTCTTTGATTCCGCATTTCTACCTCTTAAATTAAGATTAATACTAGGCTCAGGTGTTCGAAAATTGGGGGTGTTACCAGTGGCGGAGCCACAATGGGGGCAGTGGGGGCCGTTCACTCACCCCTTCGTAATTTCTTAGGATATATATATTTATATGTAAAAATTACTAAGGTATTTAGTAGCTCAATTGGTTGAACCATGGTGTTTATATATGATGAATGGCATAAGTTCAAAACCCACTTGCAGCACTTTTCTTTCTTCCCACCTATTAATAAATGTTTCTTTTTTTAAATTAAAGTATTTATTAATATAATTTCTTTTCTACTCAAACTATTTTATCTAATTGATTATATTTTATATTTAATATTTATGAATATAATTGCTTTTCTATTCTAAAGATTTTATTTAATTGATTATGTTTTATATTTTGCTATAAATATTTTTATAACATTTCAAAGTGTTTTAAAATTTCACCATACCCAAGTATAGTTTTGGCTCCGCTCCTAAGTAGTCAGTTTATCATAAACATTTTATTATAATTTATAATATATTTGGACCATATTATAGGTCACTACTGGAAATTATGAAATTTCCGACCACCTAAAAGTGATTTTAAATCAAGTCGAAAGCTTTGTTCCGACCACTTTTGGTATCCAGAATAGGGGTGTAAATGAGCCGAGCCGCTCGCGAGTTGCTTGTGAGCGATTCGGTCAACGGTCGGCTCGAACTCGGTCAAAATCGAGCTCGGCTCGAGCTCGAGCAGCTCGTGGATTAAACGAGCACGAGCCGAGCTTAGGTATTGTAGGCTCGCGGCTCGACGAGCCGCTCGCGAGCCTTATAATATATTATATAATATATAATATATAATATACTATAATTATATTTAGTATATAAAAATAATAATTAGGGGAGGGAAATTAAAATACTTTAATAATTATGTATGGATAAAAGTCATAAAACAAAGTAGTTTAAATTTTTAATCTAATAGGTCAAATTTGAGATTAAAATTGAACTCAAATTCAAGCTCGAACAATCGAGCTGCTCGAGCTCGAGCTCGAGCAGATCGATAATTGCCGAGTTCGAGCTCGAGCAGTGCTATCATTAACGAGCACGAGCATGAGCCTACCCAGGCTCGAGCTCGGCTCGGCTCGTTTACACCCCTAATCCAGAAAAACCTTTGTTGCTATTTCTGACCACTTTTTACTTTCAACTTGATTTAAGATTACTTTCAGGTGGTCGGACATTTCATAATTTTCAATGGTGGGTGTTTGATATTTTGGCATTAACAATTCTAACATCATTT